GGAGATGTGTTATGTTGGGCCTGCAATTGGCTGGAGCTGAATAGTGGCTAAGTCCTTTAGACAGAGCATAAGCCCTCCATTTGGCTCCAGTCCTCATCACTCCTTAGTGTCTAGCCCCCAGGCTGCTTCACTGTAGACATCCAAGTTTGATGTCTGGCTAGTGATTACATCACAAGTCCCAAATGCAACAATGTGAAGCACCACATTAAGGGGGAAATCAAGTAGCCCTCAATTACTGTGTTTATTCCCTCATCAACGTTGACACAAGTATTCATGCACTCGTGGAGGCAAACACACATCCATCCAGGTACACAACTACACAGGTGCACACACAACCACAGAGGGGACTTAGGATACAAAGTGTTGTGGTCTAAATGTTTGTGTCCATCCAAAATTCACAAGTTGAAACCCTGACCCGCATGGTTTTAGGAGCTGGGGGCTTTGGGGGATGATTAGGTCATGGGGAGAGGACCTTTATGAAAGGATCAGTGCCTTATAAGAGAGGTCTGAGGCCAGGCACAGCGGTTCACACCTGTAATCCCAGCACTTTGGGAGGCTGAGGCAGGCAGATCACTTGAGGTCAGGAGTTCCAGACCAGCCTGGCCAACATGGCAAAACCCCATCTCCACCAAAAATATAAAAATTAGCCAGGCATGGTGGCCTGTGCCTGTAATCCTAGCTATTCAGGAGGCTGAGGTACAAGAATCACTTGAACCCAGGAGGAGGAGGTTGCAATGAGCCGAGATCACACCACTGCACTCCAGACTGGCCAACAGAGTGAGACTCCATCTAAAAAATAAAAAAATAAAAATAAGAGAGGTCTGAGAGACATCCTTCCACCACGTGAGGGCAATGTGAGAAGATGGCTGTTGATGAGGGCACAGGTCCTCACCAGACACCAAGACCAGTATCTTGGTCTTGGACTTCCCAGCCTCCAGAACTGTGAAGATGCATTTCCGTTGTTTATAAGCCACCCCATTTATGGCATTTTGTTATAGCAGCCCAAATGGACCAAGACACAAAGTCAGTCTGAGTCATCACTTCCCCACATGAGAGTCAGACCATCCTCGGCAGGTGCTGGGGCATTTACTCTGCCCTGAACTGGGCGCCTGCCAAGGCTGAGGACGGGGTTGGGGAGGAGCAGGCCTGAACCTGGGTCCCCCTCCTCATGTCCCTGCCCTGCGTGGGGCCAGCTCTGGGGTGAGGGCACCTCAGAACGAAAGGCGAGATTCCAAGCCTCCCTGTCACCTGGCTTTAAAACTAGGAAGAAGGACTAGATGGAGGTGAGGTCCCTGGAGGCAGAGGTGTTAGGGTCATCCTGGGGAGGGGACACAGGGAGCCTCAGCTGCTAGAAGCCACAGGGAGCCAAAGAGGCCCCCAGATTCAGGAGAGGGACCCCAGCTAGGGTGGGAGGCTGGGCATATCTCAGGCAGGTACACACACCTGGTGGCCCAGTTTGCAGTGTTTTTTATGCAGCCTAGACAAACACAGAGAGGCCCCTGCTCCCCATTTCCCCAGCTGAGAGACCAAGAAGGCAAAGGCAGAATTGGAAGAGCCTCTGCCTTTGGAACCTGTCCCTGCTATAAGTCATAGCAGCCATAACCTCAGCTTCAAACACTCCCCTATCTCCTGGCTCTCTCCCTGTGCCTCATCCCTGCTCTTGGTGTTCCTTGGGTGTCAACCAGGAAGGGCTAAACTGAGTTAACTGACATGTGTTATCTGGACAGGGTCAACAGCCCCCTCGGCTTCTTATCTCCAACTCGTTGAGACCAAGAGAGAAGCAAACAGCAGCTGACAAGTCTCCCAGGAGGGGAGCCAACAGCACAAGACCGTGGGTGGGGAGCTGCAGCTGCAGTGAGTTAATGACCGTGGGTGGGGAGGCCCGGCTGGGAGACAGAACACCTGGAGCTGAGGTGGGCTCTGCAGCTCATCTGGAGGAGCATGGGTTGGGGGACTATCATCACTGGCTGAACCAATCCAGGGAGGCTTCGGGGAGGAGGCTGCACTCACACTGGGCTGTGAAGAACGTGTAGGATTCAGAAGCATAGCAGGCACGGCAGGCAGGGGACAGAGCTTAAGCAAAGGAAAGGAGGTGTACGAGCCTGAGTGGTTAGACACATGAGCCTCAGATTTCTACATCTCAGGGCTCCCATACAGCTGGATGACCCAGACTAAGTGGCTGAACTACTCCATGCCCCAGTTTCCTCGTCTGCAAAAATGGGGATAATAATAGTATCTACCAAGTGGGTTATTAAATGAAACAGCTGCTGAAGACCATAGCATACTGTAGGTGCTCAATACATGAATAAATTCTAGTTCCTCTCATTGTTTGGGGAAGAATGCTCAGGAGACAGTAAAAATGGACATTTATTGAAAGACTAGCTATGTCGTGCCCACAGTAACAATCCTCCAATCACCTATGTTATGGATGAGGACACTGAGGCACTGAGAAGGAGCATCCTTTGCTCAAGATGCCCAGGCTGCTAAGCAGGAACAGATTCCAGGCTCAGGTCTGACTGTGTCTAGCTCTGGTGCTCTTAATGTCTCCTGTGTTTGCAGAATTCACAAAGCATGACTCCAAGCAAATGCGGCTGGCTCCTGGGGGTTTCTGGAGCTGATGGGTGGCGGGGTTGAGGGGGGTGGTCCCCGGCTACCGAGAGCTGCGTCTGGAGTTAAAGAGAAAATGAGACCAAGGCAGCAGGGGCACAGAGGGACGTCACGGTCACTCTCAAATCTTGCTCTTCAGAAAAGGAGGGGTTGGCATGGTGCCTGTAATCCCAGCACTTTGGGAGGCCAAGACAGGAAGATGGCTTGAGCCCAGGAGTTCAAGACCAGCCTGGGCAACAGAGCAAGACCACATCTCTACAAAAAATACTTTAAAATTGGCCAGGCATGGTGGCACATGCCTGTGGTCCCACCTACTCGGGAGGCTGAGGCAGAAGGATCCCTTGAGCCCAGGAGTTCGCAGCTGCAGTGAGTTAATGATCCTGCCACTGCACTTCAGCCTGAGCAACAGAGCGAGGCCCCGTCCCTAAAAAACAAAGAAGAAAAAGGAGGAGGCATCTGGCAAAGGGAACAGCTTGAACAAAGGAAAAGAGGTGGGAAGTGGAAAGTGGGCCTCCTACAGCACGAGGTGCTGCCTGAGGCCTGGAGAAGGGAAGGCACTAGCCCAAGGTCATACAGCCCACATGAGTCAGGAGAGAGGGCGTCGCTGGGGGGCCAGGATCCAAGTTCTGCCAGGGCCTGTGATGCTGCACAGACCCTGCACTCTCTGAGTTTTGCTTCCCGGCAGGCTGGTGAGGGGTTGGAAAAGGTTCCTGCATGCCACAACCATGTGGACCTCAGCATGCCCAGCTGGGGTGAGGGCCCCACAAGAGGTAGCCACCAGGAGAACCCAAGGAGAGGGTCTCTCCTGCCTGGAGCCAGCCTTCCCCATAGGAGACACTTTGCTGCCCCCCTGTGGCTCAAAGGAGCACAACTTTCCATCCCCTTCTAAGAGAGACTTCCCAGAAGTCGGAGGTTCCCAATTACAGGCACAGAACCTGCCTCTGCCCATGACCCACAGGTGCGTCCAGACCCACCTACCCTTTCCTCAATATTCCACCACCACCCACCCCCACACAGAGAGTTCAGATCGAGAGTGACCCTGAAAATCAGTTTGAACCTGGATAGATGTCAATTGATGGATACACTGGTGGATGGACAGACAGATGGTCTAATGATGGCTAGATGGATGAATGTATCAATGTATGAATGGATGGATGGATGGATGGATGGATGGATGGATGGATGAATGGATGGATATGTTGATGGACTGATACACTGATGAATGGACAGTCTAATGAAAGAGGATGATGAATTAATGGATTATAGATGGATGAATGGACTATAGATGAATGGATGGATATGTGGATGGATGGATACACTGATGGATGGAGAGAAAGACAGTCTATTGATGGATAGAGAAATGGATGGATGAATGAATGGATGGGTGGATGGACTATAGACGAATGGATGGATATGTGAATGGATGGACACACTGATGGATGGACAGACAGTCTAATGATGGATAGAGGAATGGATGGATGGATGGATGGATGGATGGATGGATGGATGGATGGATTATAGATGAATGGATGGATATGTGGATGGATGGATACACTGATGGATAGACAGTCTAATGATAGAGGAATTGATGGATGGATGGGTGGATGGCTTGTGAATGAATGGATGGATGAATTATGGATGAATGGATTATGGATGGATGAATGGATGGATTGATACACCGATGGATAGACAGACAGACAGTCTAATGATAGAGGAATTGATGGATGGATGGGTAGATGTCTTATGAATGAATGGATGGATGGATTATGGATGAATGGATTAGGGATGGATGAATGGATGGATTGATACACTGATGGATGGACAGACAGTCTAATAACGGGTAGATGAATGGATGGATGGATAGAGAGATAAAAGATGGATAGTTGGAGGGATAGGTGATCAGGTTGATGGATGGAGAGTGAGATAAGTGATCACATATCCTAGATATGTGATCTTGGGCAAGTTATGTAAACTTTCCGAGCCTCAGTTTCCACATGTGTAAAATGGGGATGGTGATAATGGTTTTACTTCCTAGTACCTTTGTGAATGTTAAAGAAGACAATGAATAGAAAGTTCTTAGCAGAGTTTCTGGTATATAACAAGCACTGGATGAAGACTGGTGTTATTTTCCTCTCCTGCCTAGGCCTGAGAAGTGATAGAACGTCTCCCTCTCCTTCCTGACCTGGTCAACCTGGGCTGGTCCGCTAGGTAAAGGAAGCCCATTTAAGATCTCAGAGTGGTTGAATTCTTTAGAGACTGAGGTTTTCAAGTCTTGGCTTTGTTGCCTAAGATGGGACTTGGAGTCACTTTATTACAGAAGTGGCAACAGGACTGTAGTGTGTCTCCTGTGAGCTCATTGACATGGAAAGATAGGATCCATAGCAGTCACAAACTCAACTCAGAAAGTGTTTATTGGCTGGAGTTGTCCGAGAGTCAAAAGGAGCAGTCCTGGAGGGCTTCCTTCAGGAGGCAGCCAGCACAGTTGCACAGGGCAGCTTCCACTGCCATCCACCAGCACTGAGCCCTCCTCATCAAGCCACAGGAGTGTCCATGGGCCTCTCAGGGGTCTTTGGGGCCAGGCTGGGACCCCTCACACCTGGCCCAGGTGGGTTTTCAGAACCTGCAGCTCTCGGCTGTTGATGTTGTTACCTCCACACACAATGACCACAACTGAAGTCAGGGAAGGCGGCAGGCAGCCCTTGGCCTGGAGCCTCCCCAGGAGGCCTGAGTAGATGGCTGCTAAGGCTGCCCCACAGGCAGGCTCCACCAGCATACGCTCATCATCTGCCGGGATCAGGGGAATGGAGAGAAGAGGGAAAGGGAAGAAGAACCACTTGGTGCTCAGCAGGCCCTGGGCACTGCAGATCCTTGCAGCCATCTCTCCAGCCAGTCAGCCATTCATCTGCTCTGCTGGCAATCCATCACTTGTCTCACGCTCTCCCCATCCATCAGCCTGGCCTCCTATCCCTCCACCCATCCACCTTTTATCTCTCTATCCATCCATCCATTCCTCTATCCATCATTAGACTATCTATCTGTCCATCCATCAGTGTACATATCCATCAACATATCCATCCATCCACCCATTTACAGCCATCCATCCATTCCCCTATCCATCATTTGACTGTATGTCCATCCATCAACACGTTCATTAATCAATGTGTCCATCCATCCATTCATTTCTATACCATTCATCAATCCATCACTTCATTATCCATCCGTCCATCCATCCACTGTCCATCTATCCATTATCCACCTTTCCATTCACTCATACATTCATCCCTTCAATCAACAAGCATCTATTGAGTGCCTACTACCTGCCATGCCCTATGCCAGGAAGGTCCTAGGGACACATCAGTGACTAAGACACACCAGCCCTCATGGGGCTCACAATCTGTGATGTAGAGAGATAAGAACCAGGAGGTTATGAATACAGGGAGTGGTACATTGGAGGTCCCCAACCCAGGCAGGGTGGGGTGGGTGATCAGGGGAGGCTTCTTGGAGGAGGTGCCGTGATGGCTGATAGCTCTCAGTCACATCAAACCAATAGGGAGCAGGGCCAGCCAGAGAGAGGAGCAGCATGTACAAAAGTCTGGGGGCTAGAATCAGCAGGACACACTCCTTCTTTACCCTCACCCCCTTCCATCTACTCGACGTGTACTTAGTGCACAGTAACTGCACACCTAGCCAGTGCCTGGTGCTGAGGATACAGATAAGAGAGAATACACTCTTGCTAGAGGATGCAGGGACTTCGTGGGTCTCTGAGCCCAGGTGGAGGACAGGGCTCACTCACCCAGAAACTGCTGCACAGCGCTCACAGCCTCGGCGTCCTCCACCACTTCAGAGTGGATCTCGCACACACGCATGCACTCCAGGGCCCGAGCGGCCACCGTCTTGGCACCCAGGCTCTTGGCCACGCTGCAGGATAGAGCAGGGTGGGGCAGGGAGACCAGGGGCTCAGGGAAGAGCTGGTGAATCAGGTTTCTCCCCAGCCCCAGCCACCCCCTCCTATCCTGCAATGGGCTGATTGGAGCTCAGCATTATAAGTCACAGAGGAGGTGCTCAAAAATCATGCGTCCCTGCTGGGCACAGTGGCTCACGTCTGTAATTCCAGCACTTTGGGAGGCCGAGGCGGGCAGATCACCTGAGGTCGGGAGTTCAAGACCAGCCTGACCAACATGGAGAAACCCTGTCTCTACTAAAAATACAAAAAACTAGCTGGGGTGGTGACGCATGCCTGTAATCCCAGCTACTCAGGAGGCTGAGGCAGGAGAATCACTTGAACCCGGGAGGCGTAGGTTGCAGTGAGCTGAGATCGTGCCATTGCACTCCAGCCTGGGCAACAAGAGCGAAACTCCACCTCAAAAAAAAAAAAAAAAAAAAAAAAATCATGTGTCCATTGAATGAGTAACACTGAATGTGCATCAGTGCCTCTGACTCTGCAGCCATGATCGAGCCATTCCTTCCAGAGACCCCAGAAAGCCAAGCATAGAAAGGGATTCTTTTCTATGTTATTCATTAATATCACATCTATACTATAAATACATTTTTTTCTTTTAAATTTTATTTTTAGTAGTGGCAGGGTCTCTGGCTATATTGCCCAGGTTGGTCTTGAATTCCTGAGCTCAAGTGATCCTTTTGCCTTGGCCTCCCAAAGTGCTGGGATTACAGGCATGAGCCACTGTGCCCCACCTAAATCGATACATTTTTTTTTTTGAGACAGGGTCTTGCTCTGTGGCCCAGGCTGGAGTGCAGTGGTGCCATCTTGGCTCACTGCAACCTTTGCCTTCTGGGTTCAAGTGATTCTCCTGCCTCAAGCTTCTGAGTAGCTAGGATTAAGGTGCACACCACCATGTCTGGCTAATTTTTTATTTTTAGTAGAGATTGGGTTTCACTATGTTGGCCAGGCTTGTCTCGAACTCCTGACCTCAGGTGATCCATCCACCTGAGCCTCCCAAAGTGCTGAGATTACAGACTGAGCCACTGCAGCCGGCCAAGTGAGTTAAAATATTTAAAGTGCTTAGAACAAGGCTGATGCTTAGTGAATTTGACGGAAGTGTTAGTTGCAGTTACTATTATTGCTACTGTGGTTATTTAAGAGCACAGACTTGTGGGAGAGATGGTGATGAATAAGCAAACACAAGAACCAGTCAATAAATGCACGTTGTGGTAAGTTAGTATGAAGGAGAACATCAGAAGGGGCATCTCCCCAAGGGGAGTGTTGTGGAGAGGGTCTGAGATGTGAGAGACAAGGATAAACCAGCCCATAGAAGAGTAGGATGGTGGCTGGGGGTGGTGGCTCACGCCTGTAATCCCAACACTTTGGGACGCCCAGGTGGGAGGTTCGCCTGAGGCCAGGAGCTCAAGAAGAGTGGGACAGGGGGAACAGTGTGCTATGAAGAGGAAACAGCCTGTCCAAAGGCTCAGAGGTGGGAAAAACATTACCCACTCAAGGGACTGGAGGACAGGCCGGTGGCTGGGGTGGAGTGGGGAGGGGTCCGCATTTTAGCCTGAGAGCTTGGGAGAGGCATCGATGGGTTTACGTGGAGGAAGAAAAGGGTTCTGTGGATTAGCAATGGAGGAAGGACACACTTTCCGCTGGGGGCAGAGCAAAGGACTCAAAGGTAACAAAGGTATCAACGATTTCCTTCCTAGGCATAGACCCAAGAGAAACGAAAACATACATCCACAAAAACTTGTAAATGGATGTTCCTAACAGCACTATTCACAATAATGAATAGCCAAAAAGTGGAAAGGATCCAAATGTTTGGATAAACAAAGTGTGATCTATTCATACAGTAAAATAATATTTGGCCATAAAAAGGAATGAAACACGGACACACGCTACAATGTGGATGAACCTTGAAAATATGATGCTAAGTGAAAGAAGTCAGACACAAAAGACCACGTAGTATATGATTCCATTCAAGTGAAACATCCAGGGTAGGCTCCGGCGCGGTGGCTCACACCTGTAATCCCAACACTTTGGGAGGCCGAGGCAGACAGATCTCCTGAAGTCAGGAGTTCAAGACCATCCTTACCAACACAGCAAAACCCCATCTCTACTAAAAGATGCCCAGCCAGTGTAAGAGGATTTCCTCAGGGTAAGCAGGGCTGGCATTCCAGGTGGCAGGGGCAGGACAAGCAACAGCTCAGACATAAGACAGTACAAAGGATTTCCAGGTAGGCCGGGCGCAGTGGCTCATGCCTGTAATCCGAGCCCTTTGGACCCGGGAGGCAGAGGCTGCAGTGAGCCGAGATCACGCCACTGCACTCTAGCCTGGGCAACACAGCCAGACTGTCAAGAAAGAAAGAAGGAAGGAAGGAAGGAAGGAAGGAAGGAAGGAAGGAAGGAAGGAAGGAAGGAAGGAAGGAAGGAAGGAAGGAGGGAAGGAGGGAAGGAGGGAAGGAGGGAAGGAGGGAAGGAGGGAAGGAGGGAAGGAGGGAAGGAGGGAAGGAGGGAGGGAGGGAGGGAGGGAGGGAGGGAGGGAAGGAAGGAAGGAAAGAAAGAAAGAAAGAAAGGGAGAAAGAGAAAGAAAGGAAATGTACATAATAGGCAAATCCGTGGAGACAGAAAGTAAAATAGTAATTGCCTAGGGCTGGGGTGGGGGAATAAGGGACATGGTGGGTGATGGCCAAAGGGTATGAAGTTTCTTTTGAAGGTGATGAAAATGTTCTAAAATTGATCATGATGATGGTTGCATAACTCTGTGAATCTGCTAAAACCATTGACTAGTACACTTTATTATTTATTTATTTATTTTTGAGACAGGGTCTTACTCTGTCGCCCAGGCTGGAGTATAGTGGCGCGATCTCAGCCCACTGCAACCTCCACCTCCTGAGTTCAAGCAATTCTCCTGCCTCAGCCTCCTGAGTAGCTGGGACTACAGGCGCCTGCCACCATGCCTGGCTAGTTTTTGTGTTTTTTAGCAGAGATGGGGTTTTGCCATGTTGGCCAGGCTAGTCTCGAACTCCTGAATTCAAGTGATCCGCCCACCTCAGCTTCTCAAAGTGCTGGGATTACAAGTGTGAGCCGCTGCACCCAGCCGGAATCGTACACTTTAAATAAGTAAACTGAATGGCATATGAACTAGATCTCAATAAAGATGTTATCCTTCTTTTTTTTTTAAAGGCAACAAGGGTGGCGCAGGGGTTGGGGAGAGCTGTTACACCCATTCAGGGAAACAAAAGCTGGGAGAGAACTGAATTCTAGAGATAGGATGGATGGAACTCAATGGGGCAAGGGGAGCCCATATGACACCCAGGTGCCCAGTCAGAGCACCTGGATGGATGTTGGTGTCATCTACAGAAATCACACTCCAGGAACTTCCCTTAGTGCTTCTGCTGTGCCAGTCTCTGGGATGGGTATCAGGGACTCAGAGCTAAATCAGCCAGTCCTTACCCTCTAGCTCCTCCACCCCAGCCAGTAGCCCAAACCAGGACACAGCAGAAGAGTGACACAGACACACACAGGGTGCCCTGAGGGTCTTCCAGATGGATACAGCTGCCCAAGCTGTCTAAGGATTTCCTCAGGGTGAACAGGGCTGGCATTCCAGGTGGCAGGGTCAGGACGAGCAATGGCTTAGAAGTAAGACGGTACAAAGGATTTCCAGGGAGGCCGGGCACAGTAGCTCAGGCCTGTAATCTCAGCCCTTTGAGAGGCTGAGGTGGGAGGATCACTTGAGCCCAGGAGTTCTAGACCAGCCTGGGCAACACAGCAATACCCTATCTCTACAAAAAAAAATGTTAAAAAAAAAAAAGAAAGAATTTCCAGGCAAAGATAGCACAGCAATGCTGGAAGGTGGATGCAGGCCAGGCCAGGAAAGAGTGGAGATGGCACCAGAAAGAAGAGAAGGAGACTCGTGTCCAGGTATCATCCCCTTGAGGTTTTTCCAATTGGCCACCTAGAACCTTGTACACAATAGATGCTTAAGGAACCTGACTTAAACTGTCTTGATCTTACACACCTTGCTATAATATCCCATTACATCCTAAGTCCCAGTATCCAATGAGTGTTTAACAAAATCTGGGCAGAGACTGTATCCGTACTGGGTTGAATCATGCCTCCTTCCGAAATGCACAACCAGGCCGGGCGCAGTGGCTCACGCCTGTAATCCCAACACTTTGGGAGGCCAAGGCGGATACATCACGAGGTCAGGAATTCGAGACCAGCCTGACCAACATGGTCTACTAAAAATACAAAATTAGCTGGGCATGGTAGCGCATACCAATAATCCCAACTGCTTGGGAGGCTGAGACAGGAGAATCACTTGAACCCAGGAGGTAGAGGTTGCAGTGAGCTGAGATTGCCCCATTGCACTCTAGCCTGGGAAACAGAGTGAGACTCCATGTCAAAAAAAAAAAAAAAAATGCACAAAATGTGCATTACTTGGAAATAGAGTCTTTGCAGATGTAATTAGTTAAATTAAGGTGAAATCGTACTGGATTAGGGTGGGTCCTAAATTCAATGATCACGTTCTTCTTAAAATTTATTGGCTTTGGAGGGTATCGGGGAGGACAGGTTCTTGCTAAGTTTCCCAGGCTGGAGTGCAATGGCTATTCCCAGGGACGATCACAGCACACTACAGCCTCAAACTCCTGGGCTCAAGTGAACCTTCCGTCTCAGTCTCCCAAGTAGCTAGGACTACAGGTGTGCACCACCATGCCCAGGTAATGTTTGTATTTTTTTAGTAGAGACAAGGTTTCACTATATGTTGGCCAGGCTGGTCTCAAACTCCTGACCTCAAGTGATCCGCCTGCCTCGGCCTCCCAAAGTGCTGGGATTACAAGCATGAGCCATGGTGCCTAGCCTACATTTTCAAACTTATTTGCAACGCACATGGGTTGCTTTTGTAATGATAAGTCAATGAAAGCTTGTTTTATGAATTGATTAGGTTTAAATGAATCATATTCTTCATCTCCTTTTTCAGCACTGCCTTCTAACTCAGGTCCACTTTACTGTGGTTGGAGTCCCAGGACCAAGGACAGCCTTTTGGGTGCCCCCTGTCTCCACTGGCTGGGACTGGAAAGCCCTAGGGCAGTGGTACCCCCACCCTCCAGCCCCTACAAATGTCCCCAGCCCTTACCCACCTGGTGATGTCTGGAAGTGTGACCAGCTTGCCGGCCATGACGGCCGCATTGAAGCAGTGTGCCCCATGGGTCTCCATGGCAATGATGGGTACATGCTGCCAGCCCACCTCCAGCAGGCCAGCCACCACCCCAGCCAGGAGCCCCCCGCCCCCGACTGCCAGCACCAGGGCACCTGGTGGGGTCCTCAGCACTGCCTTCAGCTCCTGCACTAGGCTGGCGTGGCCTTTCCTGGGGAGGGGGGGTGAGAGGGAGGAGCAGAGTAAGGGAGGACCCCAGCCCCAGTGGCTCCTGGGGTGGGGGGATTTACCAGGGGTGGGTTCCCTGCTCCCACATATACATAAACCCCTCCCCACCATCCCCATCCCATCTGCAGTAAGGGGAGAGGAAGTCCTGCAACAGTTACTTCGCTCAGCTTCATTCATTCTCTTTATTTTTATTTTTTTGGATAGAGTCTCGCTCTGTCACCCAGGCTGGAGTGCAGTGGCGTGATCTCAGCTCACTGCAACCTCTACTTCCCCGATTCAAGCGATTCTCCTGCCTCAGCCTCCTGAGTAGCCGGGACTACAGGCGCGCACCACCATGCCCAGATAATTTTTGTATTTTTAGTAGAGATAGGGTTTTGCCATGTTGGCCAGGCTGGCCTCAAACTCCTGACCTCAGGTGATCCACCCGTCTCGGCTCCCGAAGTGCTAGGATTACAGGCATGAGCCACTGCACCTGGCCTTGTTCATTTTCTTTATTACGGATTTGTTTGCTCATCCCCTCCCATCTCCATCAACCTCCCAGGCCCTTTCTAGGACATTACCCCATTTAGCTCCCTCCCCAGCTTTGCAAAGAGGCAATGGCAATGTGTGGTTAAGAGCGGACAAGTATATCACTTGGCACCAGCCTGACTACAGCTCTGGCACTGCAGCCCTGAGTCTCTGCCACGTACTTAGCTGTGTGATCTTGGGCAAGTTGTTTGACCTCAACGTGCCTCAGTTTCCTCACCTATGAAATGGGGATAATAGCACCCACCTGTAGGGCTTTGGGGAGGGTAAACGGAACAGTGCAGGAGGAGCCATTAGCCTGGTGCCTAGTCCCAAAGCACATATTCAGTAAAGGAGACTTGGTACTATCACTTCCATTTTACACACATAGAAACTGAGGCACAGGATCTGGGGTGCTTTGCACAAAGTCCCACAATTCCCAAGGGGGCAGAAGTGGGATCCGAACCCATGTCTGCCCGGCTTTGAAGCCTCTTCTCCCCTCTGGGCCTCAGTTTCCCCTTCTGCCCAATGGGAGGACCCTAACTCAGTGAGGGTCTCCCAGCTCTGGACTCCTGGGGAGAGGGGCGTCAGCCTTACCATATTAGGGGGTGGTCAAACGGGGAGACATTCACCCAGCCGTCCCTCTTGGCCAACTCTTGTGCCCTCAGATTGGCCTCGTCCCAGACCTACAGAGAAACCAAGGACCCTCAGAAGATCTGGGAGTGGGACTGCTATGGAGGCCGGAGCAGAGGCCCAGGCTCTCCTTGGTGGCCCCAGGATCCAGTAGTCTGGGGACACCCCTGCAGATGAGACCAGACCTGGTGCGGGCCCAGAGGCCTCCTGAGAACTGGACAAGTACTTCCAGGTGGACAAACAGATGCCATACGCTTTCCGCAATACCAAAGGGACCTGTCCTACTGGCACCCTATGAAAACCAGGCCAGGCCAGCCAGGGAGGCTAGGAGCGGGTCAGCTCCAAAGTCAGCCACATGTGCCCACTTCTAGCCAACCAGTAGGGGAGAAGCCCCCTAAAATCAAACCCCAGACAGCAACCTGGTCACCATAGAGTGTGTCCGTGAAAACCAGCAATGGCCCAGCTGATGGCCTGCTAGTTGAGTTCAAGCAGCCAGAGAGATGGCGCACAGGGCCAGCGCTGACCATGATGGATCCAAGCCAACCACAGCAGAGTGAGTTTTCTCTTCTCACTGGCTTGGCCTCTGTGGCGGAGATCCACGTCCCCTGCTCATTCACACACCATTGACAGGCTTTCTTCCCTTCCCTGACTCATTTCTACACTCCCTACCAATGCTTCCTGCAATCACCTCCCAAATAAACCACACGCACCCTAGTCCTCATCTCAGGGCCCGCTTTTGGGAGATCCCAAACTAAGACAGCATTTCAGAGGGACCCCATGCCCCCTGATCTCAGCAGGAACCAGATACAGAAACTAAATGATAGACAATGGCCTCCTCTCCCAAGGGAGGGGGGGAGGGTCACAAGGGGCAGAAATAGCCCCTGCTCATCCTCAGGGCCTCTGCAGTGCCCACTCTGTGCCCAGTTCTAGGCATGGGGACTCTTCAGCAGGACAGAAGCCAGGAAATGGTCTCTGACCGCGAGGAATTTCCCATCTGGCTGAAGAGAGGAGTCTCATTCCCCTGAGTTACTGAAACAAAAATACACTGTTGATGCGAATGCATATTAGTTCAGCTCCTGTAGGAAGCAGTTTGGAGATTTCTCAAATAACTAAAAATAGAATTACCATTTGATCCAGTAATCCCATTACTGAGTATCTACCCAAAGGAAAATAAACAATTTCACCAAAAAGATCTGCATTTGTATGTTCATCACAACAGTATTCACAACAGCAAAGACGTGGAATCAACCCAGGTGCCCATCAATGGTGGACTGGATACAGAAAATGTGGCGCATATACATCATGGAATACTATCCAGCCATAAAAGAGAAGATCACGTCCTTTGCAGCAACATGGATGCAGCTGGTGGCCATTATTCTAAGAGAATTAACTTAGGAACGGAAAACAAACACTGCATATTCTCACTTATAACTGGGAGTTAAACACTGGGTACACATGGGCACATAGACACTGGGGCCTCCAAAAGTGGGGAGACAGGGAGAGCGGCAGAGGTTAAAAAATACCTGTCAGCCGGGCACAGTGGCTCACGCCTGTAATCGCAGCACTTTGGGAGACCAAGGCGGGCAGATCATGAGGTCAGGAGATCAAGACCAGCCTGGCCAACATGGTGAAATCCCGTCTCTATGAAAAATTAGCCAGGCGTGGTGGTGTGCACCCAGCTACTCAGCTACTCAGGAGGCTGAGGCAGGGGAACACTTGAACCCGGGTGGCAGAGGTTGCAGTGAGCCGAGATGGTGCCACTGCACTCCAGCCTGGGTAACAGAGCGAGACTCCGTCTCAAAAAAAAAAAATAAAAAATAAAAAAAAATAAAAATAAAAAAATTAAAAAAAAAAAAAAAGAAAAAAAAAATTAGCTGGGGGTGTGGTGGTGGGTGCCTGGGATCCCAGCTACTTGGGAAGCCGAGGCAGGAGAATTGCTTGAACCTGGGAGGCGGAGGTTGCAATAAGCCAAGATGTGCCACTGTGCGACAGAGTAAGACTGTCTAAAAAAAAAAAAAAGATACCTGTCAGGTACTATGTTCACTACTTGGACGACAGAATCATTAGAAGCCCAAACCTCTGCATCATGAAATATACCCATGTAACAAACCTGCACATGTATCCCTGAATCTGAAATTAAAACTAAAGAAAAAAATAGATTCACGCCTGTGTAGTGCTTGACATCTCTCACCTGTAGAGCCCCAAGCAGCCTCCTCTCGGGGTCCTCTCCTGCGTTGCCCCAGAGCGGGCAGAGTGACAATCCAACCAGGTCCCTCCCCTGCTCAAACTCCTTTCATGCTTCCCTAGTGCCCTCAGATGGAAACACATTAGCTTCACCTCCAAGCCACCCTGCCTGATGGAGCAACTCTTCTGTCTTCAGCCTCACCTTTCACCATCTCCCGCCCCATGCTGGGCTCAGCCTGAATGCGTGTGCTCATCCATGCCACGCCTTCACCCACGCCCTTTCCTCTGTTCACACTCAGATCATTCCCTCCCTTTTCTCCACTGTGCGGACTCAGATTTCTCCTTCAATACCCAACCCTGGGGAACCTCGTCAGGAGCTTTTCCTGGATCCTTTCACCAAATCTAAGGCATAGCCCATTGGTTTGACCACTGCCCAATTCTCCACTCCCTCCCCCTATTAGAATCATACACCCACACCTTGCCATGTGGCTTGTTACTGTTTTTAGAGACATGTTCTTACTATGTCGCCCAGGCTGGCCTCAAATTCTTGGGCTCAAGTGATCCTCCCAACTCAGCCTCCTGAGTAGCTGAGACTACAGGTGCACAACACAGTGCCCAGATTTTTTATCTCTCTATTTATTTATTTATTTATTTATTTTATTTTTGACATGTGGCTTTGCTGTTCTTCTCACTAGAGTGGTTGGAGCACATGTCCCCTCCCCACTGATGTTGGTCTCAGCTGTCTGGCCAACAGCATGTGGCAGAACTGACAGTGTAATAGTTCTCGGTTGAGGTCTTAAGAGGCATCACGTGTTTCTTCTCACCCCTCTTGTCACTGCCCTTGAGAAGAATGTGTGCCCGGTGGCCACTGGCTGGGGAAGACACAGGGGACATCTGCAGACCTTACTCCTTCCCCACATTCTGAAGCAGAACCACCCTAACCCTCCCACAGACCCAAAGCATGAGAAGCAATGTTCTCATAAGCTGCTGCTATTTGGGGGCTGTTTGTTATGCAGCATTACCAAGCAACAATAGCTGACTCAAACAACATGCCTTCTCTCTGACTTCCTTGGTGCCCTGTGCTTCCCCCGTGGCAACACTTTTCACACTTTGTTACCATCATCTGGTTACCTGTGTATCTCCTCATAATACTCTGAAATTTATGAGTGTAAAGACCATGTCTTATTATCTCTGTGTTTCTAGAATGTCTAACATAGCAGGCACTGAATATGTGCTCAATGAATATCGGATGGATGGATGGATGGATGGATGGATGGATGGATGGATGGAAAGAAGGGAGAGAGAAGGGAGAAAGGGTGATGTATGGAAGGATGGTTAGATAGATGAAGAAATGGAAGGAAGGAAGGAGAAAAAGAAAGGAGGGAGGGAGAGAAGGAAGGAAGGAAGGAAGGAAGGAAGGAAGGAAGGAAGGAAGGGAGGGAGGGAGGGAGGGAGGGAGGGAGGGAGGGAGGGAAAGAGGGAAGGAGGGAGGGAGGGAGGGAAGGAGGGAAGGAGGGAGGGAGGGAGGGAAGGAAGGAAAGAAAAAGGGAGGGAGGGAAGGAAGGACAGAAGAAAGGGAAGAAACTATATACAGGAAGTATTTGGGACCAGCTTTAGGGTACCATAGTTTGGCTTTTAGTTTTAATTTCAGGATGTTTAAAAATCTGTTTTCCATTATTTGAATGATTTTTTTCCTTCTTCCCAGAAGAAAGATTTTGTATCTGTGTCTCTATTTCTTTGGGAACAAAGGGAACCAGTGATATCTTTCTCAGAGGATACCATTTCTATTGGGGTGGTCTCAGAATGAAAACTGATGCTGCCATCATCTTGATACTTCTTGTCTTATCTAACAGCAAAAATGTTAAAAGTGGATAATACCAGGTGCTGGTAAGGATGTAAGGAGACAGACAGTCTCCTGTCCATCGCCAGCTTCCCATTTTTCTTGGTTCACACATGGAGGGTATTCTCAGGGTGGGCAGAGGAAAGTTGGGAGGTCCCAGCCCTCCACACCCATCCCACCTCATTCCCCCCTCAGCTCAGCTATCCTGAGAGAGGACTGGGCCCCAGCCACAGCTCATCGAAAGGAAAAGGAGACAGGGGTGGGGTGGGGTGAAGGAGAGCAGCCCACTCCAGATGGTTTTCCCCTTCCCGGGGCCCTTACCTTTCCAGTCAGCTGAACCTCGGCCCCCTCCCCCTGCAGTCTCTGCACCACTTGCAGGGAGGTGCTCTCAGGGAGCACGACGGTGGCAGGGATGCCCAGCTTCCTAGCAGCATAGGCAGCAGCGATGCCTGCATTACCTCCTGTGCAGAAAGGAGGAAAGGGGCAGTGAGCAGAGCTGCATTGGCCTTTAACATGCCTTTCCCTCCCCCTCCATATCCCTTCAGAGTCACTCCTCCCCAACATTTATATGCCCCATTGACTCCTTCCTCCACTGGAGAGGGGGACACATGATCTAGGCTGAGCCAATCAGAACCTAATCCCCCAACCCATGATTGGTTCAAGGATGAAGACACCACCCAAGCAGGGCCAAAAAAGACCAATTCCAGGATTGAGGCGAGGCATCAAGAAGGGGTGCTCCCTTTTCCCTAGGGTTCGGAGGGTGGTAGGATGCAAGGCTGGAATTCCTGGTGGCCATCTTGCTACCATGAGGCCCACCTAAAAATAAAGCTAATATACAGGAGCGCAAAGCCCAGAGGAGAGACAGAGAGGAGAGCTCCTGGATCCCCCTGTGCCTGAAAGCCACTTATCCCAAGAATTTTCCATTCTTAGAGCCTGTAGCTTAAACCTAAATGAATTGGGTTTCTGGCACTTGCTACCACCGTGAGTCCTGAACTATGGGAGAAGGCTAGGAATGGGATGTACGCAGTAGTCATCTCATCAATGACCTTGATGAGGCTGTACCTTTAAGAGGAGACCAACCCTGGACATCTACTGCTGCTCCAGCCAGCTCCTCCTCCCCCAACCTCTGCCCTGAGGACCCCCATGAAACAAAAAAGGGTGGGGTCACCTGAGGAGCACACCAGGTGTCTGCATCCCTTCTTGGCCATCTGGGAAGAGAAGGAATGGGGTTAAGGGCTAACCCAAGCAGTTGTCATGAAGGCCTATGTAGAATGGGGTTAGAATCTCCCCATCCCACTCCCAATACGCCTTTACCCCTCATCCTGCCTACAGCCCTGCCCTCACCTCTCCCCTCCCATCTGCACGAGTTCATGTTTCTCCTCCTGCCCAAACCCATCCCCAGCCCACACCCCTCACTCTTCCCTCCCTCCTGCACAACCTCATTTCTCCCCTTCTGCCCACAATCCTCACCTCCTGGCAGAAATGCCCGATGCCCCGAATCTTGAAGGAGCCACTGGGCTGCACATTCTCACACTTGAGGAAGATAGGCATGCCAGCCACCTGGGACAGTGCCCAGCTCTCCAACAGAGGTGTGACCACGTGGAAGGGCTCCTGCTTGGCACGCTCCGCCACAGGGCCATCCATTCTGGAGACCAGGTAGATAGCCTGCAGGAGGACACGAAGTTCACCACCCAGGCAGTCCCCGTCAAGAGTTCCCTTAACCGGGACAAGAGAGGGGAAGGTAGAGCAAGCCCTTGGCTTAGGTGCCCTTCACTCCATCCAGCTGCCGAGCTGTGAGACCCCCGTCAAGTATCTGCATCTCTCTGGGCCTCAGTTTCCCTATCTGGTCAAAGACATTTGGCCTGCAGTCCTTTCATTCTATAAGTGTGGCTGTGTCGGGGATGTAGAAAGTGGCCAATATGTGGCGAG